CTGGCCGCTGGGAGCTGAGCAGGGTACCTGAGTGGAGCAGGGTGGGGGAAAGGCTAGAGGAGCTAGTGTAATTCACATGGATTTGTAAATTTAGATCGAATGTAATTAGACTATGGTAAATAAGGAATATATTCTAATAGCGTAGACCTGCTCTATAATGATCCAGTGTTGTTTATCATTCTTGTACCAATACAATATGCAGTCAAACACATAAGTTAGGAAAGTTAAAACTCTCACTAGTTTTTTTTTTTTTTTTTTTTTGGATGTAACAGTTCCACTGGTATTTTTCTCTCCCTTCTCTTCCCATGCCAATTGCGATAAGTTATTTTGCAATCTCTTAAGATTCTCAAAAGCCATTCTTGGAAGGTCCTGAACAAGATCATTAAACAGGGGAGGACGTTCATTTTTAAATGATACCAAGTCTAGAATATCAGGATAAGCTGAAATTGTTCAATAAGCTTTTTGTAGCTATTTCACCAGAGAAGGGTGGTTTATGAAGGTTTGAGGGTTGGCTGGACGTGCGCTCCAAAATATTTGCCAGACGTTGAATAGTCAGGCGTGTCCTCTTTAGAAAAACCTTTAGGCAGTCCCTCTTTTAGAATGAAGCCACAGAGAGTACCAAAAAGCTGATGTATTAGTTACTTGGATCATCTGCATACAGTGATCAGTATTTTCCCATCTCATACCATTTATTTACCTATTAGCATAAATTCTTTGAGCCAGGCATTCAGCCATTCTGTAGCAAGCATAAAGAATGAAAGAAAAGGAATGACCTCATGGCACCTGTTTAAAGTGAAACTCCAGGGCTCCATTCCATCAATAAGAATTCTCGCTGATAGAAGGTGAGCAACATCTCTCAATCCAAGCCATAAATATAGGGATAAATCCCAGTTTCAGGACCTGAAAACAATATCACCCTCTTCCACACCACCTTAGACTTTTTATACTCCCAGGTATGTAATCATGTTTAGCACTTTCCACCTGTAGAGAACAGAATGCTGTAAGAGGTGGGGGAAATACCAGCAATGCCGTTTGATTTATTAACAGTACCCAAAAGTCTTGTAGGTAATTTACAGATCATAAAAAGACAATGGGTAAGATTTTCAAACCCCCCCCCCCATTGAATGAGTGGATTTAGCTATGCAAATCTCATCAAAATTAGTGGGAGTTGTATGGCTAAATTCCGTAGCCAGCTTTGTCCCTGCTTTGAAGAATTTACAATCTATTAATAGACAGGCAATAGCCATTTGTAAGTGAATTATTAAATTCGCCCTTTGAGGTGGAAGGGGTTGAATCTCTCTTAATTGTTCAGAAAAGAGGGAAGGAAGGATGAAAATGAAACAAAAATAGCTGTATTTATAAAGTGCAAGAATAAGGAGAGAAACCATTTCAAGACACAGCTGGAGATCGGGACATGACATTTAAAGGCGCACACGCTTTCTCTGATGCATGTGTGAAGTTTTAAAGATATTTTTAAATGATCGTTGCTTCCTAATTTAGAAATAAACCTTTTTTCAGCTGGCTTGTTAATGCCGTTTATGCCAGGTGTAGCGGGTGTGAGTGCTTTGAAATGTTCTTTCTCCTATTCTTGGTTTTGAGGCCTGGTCTACACTAGTATAGCTAGGTCTCCAGGGGTGTGAAAAATCCACACCTCTGAGAGCTGTATCTATGCTGATCTACCCGCTGGTGTAGATAGTGCCAGGTGGATGCAGAATTCTTCCGTCGACCCAGCTAATGCTTCTCGGGGAGATGGATTACCTACTCTGACAGGAGAATCTCTCCTGTCCCAGTGCTGCTGTAGCATTTAAGGTATAGGTGTATACTGAGTCTTAAACAGAGGAGTGCTAGTTTATATAGTCAGGTCTTTGGAGGCAGGGACTGCCTTTGTGTTCATAGTGTGCTTAGAACAATGGGGCCCCGAGGCCAGATTTCTAAAGGTATTTAGGTGGTTAAAGATGCAGATAGGTGCCTAGGTAACTTTGAAAATCCCACTAGGCATCTAACTCCCATTAGGAGTTAGGCATATTTAAAAGTCCCACCTGGCATCTGTCTGCATCTTTAGGCATCGAATTACCTTTGAAAATCTGGCCCCTGATCCGTGACTGGAGCTCACTGGTGCTGCTGCAATACAAATAGTATTCAGCAAAAAATTGTTAAGCAGCAGTTGAGTCACAACTGCATCGATTTTATTGGTGATTGACCCGTCTGTCATGCTTGACAGGTTCAAATTAGTTTTTCAAACTAACAGGACCCACCTTATTCCCCGCACATTCACCTCTCATCCCTTTTCTAGTCACCCAAACAAGAAGAGTAGTGCTAGCCACACCCGAGCTAACTCTCCTGCCTTTGTGTGTGCAGGATTCATATGGGAATGAGAAAGGGCCGCTAAGCCATTGGGTGTGAGTTTTTTCTTTCAGCTAAGCAGTTTGCTTGTGGTAGTCTGTGGCAAGTTTTTGCAGCCTCGCCTTCTGGATATATTAGTATGTGTTGCCCTAAATTTAGCTGATGCCTAATTATGGTAGCAATGTACTTGGGCACCTTCTGGAATCAAGCTTCCTATGTTACTCTGCAGGATGGGGACTACCAGTCAGAAGTCTTTAAAGGCCTTTTTCAATGTTGATATTCCCTCTTAATTACAGTTAATCATCAGGAACTCTGCTGTTCTCATTCTGTCCTGCCATTTATAGCCTCCAGGTCCCACAGCTAAATCCTCTCTTCCTTCTTGCTATAGGGTTAGTCTCTCAGCATCATCATGATGATTTATCCAACTGCTCCTCATTTTAGTTACATACATGTCTCTCTATTGTAGCTCTTTGCTTTAGTTACCCAACAATTTAGCATTGCAATTTGGGGACCTAAACTCACTTATTTGAAATCAAGGCTGGTCGATTACTTTTTTAAATCTAAATATTTTTCTGTCAAAAATGCAGTTTTAGGAAAGCGGGTGGAATAACATTATTTAATTTCTGGCAAATATTTTTGAAAGGAAAAGAAAATGTTTGTTTCGGGTTTTAAAACTCCAAAGTTCATGATCGAGGGTTTAGTCAGATCTAAAGAAACTAAATGAATGGTTATTTTTTAAAACGAAACCAAAACAAAAATTTCAATATGAACCAATGTGTTTCATTTTGAATTTTTCATTTAAAAAATCAGTTTGTTCTATGAAAAATTTAAACAAAATAATTTCATTCAAAATTATTTTCAAAAATAAAATTGGATTTTTTTTTTGACCGATTCTAACTGAAATGGCATTCATACCCTATGTATATGTCTTTCTTTTGTGGAAAGATTCAGACCAATCTAGTAATATTTTTTTTCCTGAATAAAATGTTTTAAAATATATCTCAGAAAACTGATGGCTATTAATAGCACATGATGAAATAAATATTCTACGGATGGGGAAGCTGAGGCACAGGGAGGTGAAGTGACTTGCCCAAACTTTATAGTCATTGCTAGATGATCTGGCACATTCACTAATATTTCAAAATGCAGTTCTGTTGTTGTGAATATAGCATAATGGCTCTTGACTATTGAGAGCTCTGTGGTAGATGATCTTTGCAATCTCTGTTACCTTTTCCCTCCTCATTCCGCCTCCTACTTGTTAGTTTTTTCACCTGTTGTGTACTGTCTAAATCTTACATTGAGAGCTTTCTGGGGCAGGGAATGTCTGTGTTATTCATGCAGTGCCTCGTACAATGGGTTCCTAATCTCTGGAGTCCTCAGGTGGCTAATGCAATAGAAATACTAAATCATACTTCTAAGGAATGGATTCAGAATGCCAGGGTACAGAATGTTTTCTAGTCCACATCTCACAGTTCAGCTGCACTTGACAGTATTCACTCATGTGGTGGGGAATAGAGCCTTGCAATTCAACAGGACCAGACTACAAGTGTAGGATTTGGGTCAGGTCTGAAATCAGCCCAATCCTCTCAAGCTTGGTTAAAGTTGTCTCTGATCACGTGGGGTCAGTGCAGCAGCAGCTGAGTGCCCCCTCCCACGTTGCACGCTCTGTGTGCTGTACAGTGCGTGTGCTGACAAGTTGCAATGCCTTTCACTTCACCACACACACAGTGCAGCCAGCAAGCGTGGGGCGCATAGCTGCTTCCCCATCGACCCCATGGGCAGGAGGCGACCAGAGATGGATTGTGGGAAACCCCTACGAGTCTGAGTCTGAAGGACTAGGCAGTGGCGACAGTGCTGATACCTGTTTGAGGGAAGTGTCAGGTCTGGATTGGGTCTGAAAAGGACTCAACACTCCTGGGTCAGGTTTGAGTCAGCTGTACCCCGGTTGGGTTCGGATCCAGCTTTAAAACTAGGACCAAGCAGACCTGTAGTAGGGTGACTAATTTCCTCCACCGCAAGACTCACTGGATGAAATTCTGTGGCCTGTGTCATGCAGGAGGTTGGGCTAAATTATCATCATGATCTGTTTGGCCTTAAAATCTATGACATCCCAGAGTCCTGGGGTGAAGTTGTGGCCCCACTGATGTCAGTGGGAGATTTGCCATTCACTTCAAAGGGTACAGAATTTCAACCTTGATTCACAGTCCTATTCTTTAACAATCAGATACATCCCTGCTTAAATAATAGAAGAGACATGGGGTAAAATTTTTAAAAGCAGCGAAGCAACTGAGGAACCTAAGTCCCATTTTCAAAAGTGACCTTAGGCACTTAGGACCTTAAGGGTAACATTTTTAGAAGCATGTAAGTCCTTTATGGAAATGGGACTTAAGCTCTTCAGTAGAGCTGGTTTGAAAAAAAATTGATAGGATAGTTTTTCCTGGGAAAATGCAATATCATTGGAATTAAAACATTGCATGGGAATGTGTCAGTTTTGACAACATTTTCTACAGGAAAAAGTCTAAATGAATCATTGCAAGTTTCCTGTTTTGATAATGTTGAAACATTTTGTTTTAGTGAGGTAAATGTTTAATTTTTACTTTATATTAAAATATTTGAACATATTAAAATATTTTAATATCTATATATAGTCTAATATTACATGATAGTATAGCTAATATTACATTTTGATATTCTTGAAACAACATTTTGATCGTTCCTAATTGAAATTTTTTAGAATTGTGGTTTCATGGAAAATTTCCAAAATTTTGGCTTTTTGTTCCAAACAAAAACAAATTTTGGAATGTTGGAATTTTCCACAGATCAGAAATGCTTGTTTCTGACCAGTTCTAGCCCTAAATCACTTTGGCATTTTTAATTTTTTATTTAAAATTTTACCCTCATTCAGCTATAAAAAAATAACTCAAATATTAGGTAGGTAAATCTGAAACAAAGATGTATAGCTAGATTAGAGTATAAACTACTGTTTCTGGATACACCCATCTACTCAGTATTTGAAGAGTTAATGCTGAGTTTATTTTGCATTGATTATATAAAATGTTCCCTTTGCTGGTTCAGTAGGCAATATCATTGAACAATGTTGAACTCTTCCATCTAATGACACATGTAGTTCATCTCCTGTACTAAGTAAATTAAGTACAAATTGGCTATTAATATTTAAGAGCAAAAGATAAATGCTAGCTAGAAATTGGAGCAATTTGTACATCCATTCCAGCCATTAAAAGATTAGTCTCAGCAATGCACTCTGTGGTTCCCTTATCTTTTATTAATGCCTTGCTTTTTTATTTTATTAAGGAATTTGATCAAAACTATGCAATAGGGTTTGGACGTTGCTGTTCCAATAGCCTCGTGTATTCTGCACTACTGAAAACTCAGGATAAACTAGAAAGTGAGTCAATGCTATACATTTTGGAATGAGCTGAAAGGCTGAGGTACAGCATGGGCATCAGGGATCAGAATACAGAGGCCTTTGCAATTAGGTACATGGTTGAAATCTAGCTCAAGTGGATAACTGCCAAAGTAGTTACCATTATTATTATAGGGCGTGGTGCCAAGAATGCTGGCGCTTCCTGGATGTGTAAAAAAATAGTCCCTACCTCTGGGGGTTTATTACCTATGCAGGCCACACACAGATGCAGGGATGCAACAAAAAGCAGTATGCATGGGCAGTGATACATAGCACATGTCTTGTTAGTGCCGTGATTTTTGCTGCGGTTATTAAATGGATATTGAATGTGCCTCCCTGAGGGGAGAGCTAGAGTTCGTAGGCTTGTTGGAAGAGGTGTAGTGTAAGAAGAGGCTGAAAGGCTGAGGTCTCAAAAAGGTCCTGTGGCTGAGGCACTCAACTGGGACTCAGAGGATATGGGGTTCAATTCCTGGCTCTACCACAGACTCCTTGTGTGAGCTATGGGAAGTCACCTGATCTCTCATTGCCTTGATTCCCCATCTATAAAATGGAGATCATGGGTAAAAGTCTCTAAAGCACCTAAGGCCCATTTTCAAAAGTGGCAGGCAGTTAGGAGCCTTTGATTCCTCGTAAGCCAATGGGATTTAGTTCTTAAGTGCCTTAGTATCATTTTCAAAAGGTACTTAAGGGCCAGATTTTCAAATAGGGATTTTCAAATGCTTCTAAGCAAGTGAGACACCTACCCTGCTTAGGCACTTTTGAAAATGCTACTGTTCTGTATAGGTTACCATGCTGCCCTCAGCACCATAGTCTCTGAGCACCTTGTAGTAGTGCATTAAGCAACGTGACTAACACACGTCATGTGTCTGTCCCCTTGCATCCTCTCTACAGTGGGAGAATGTGTGCATCTTTAGGCACCAAAATACTTTTGATAGCCTGGCCCTTAGGATCCTATGTCACTCAGGTTTTAAATTTTTACTCAGTAATACTTGCTTCCTCTCACACTTTGTCTGTTTAGACCAGGGGTAGGCAAGCTATTGCATGCGTGCCAAAGGCAGCATGTGAGCTGATTTTCAGTGGCACTCACACTGCCCGGATCCTGGCCATCGGTCTGGGGGGCTCTGCATTTTAATTTTAATTTTAAATGAAGCTTCTTAAACATTTTAAAACCCTTATTTACTTTATATACAACAATAGTTTAGTTCTTTATTATAGCCTTAAGGAAAGAGA